TCTGTAATAGTAAAACACTAAGCCTATAATGATGAATCACTAAGTCTATAATGACACACCAAGCCTATGACACACACCAAGCCTATAATCGGCACACACTAAGTCTATGAAGATGACACACCAATGCTATAATGGTGCATCACTAAGTCTGGTGAATCACTAAGTCTATAATGGCAATGATACATTGCTAACAAATACTGTGCATTAAAATGTGTGTTCAAGAGCAAATAATAAATATCACATATTTCATCTCATAAAACAATTGAAGGTGAAACCACAGGGACAGGGGGGAAAAGAATCACCAATTAAATTAGGGAAATGTTCTTTGTATTTGAACAATCCAATACATATATACACTTGAACACATAACAAATTGAAGTGAAGTTGGCTACTTCAAATAGTAATTATTCTAAATTCTCTTTATTATGCCTTCAAAACAGTTCCAGGTGAAGTTGCACATGAAGGTATATTGTTATCAATGTTATCTTATCAATGTTATTCTATCCATGTTAATGTTATGTTATCAATGTCATTCTATATATGTTTAGTTATCAATGTTCTGTTGTCAATTTTATGCTATCTATGTTATCAATGTTATGCTATCAATGTTCTGTTATCAATGTTATGTTATCATTGTTATCAATGTTCTGTTATCATTGTTATCAATGTTCTGTTATCATTGGTATCAATGTTACATTATAAACATTATCAATTTTATGTTATCAATTTTTTTTTATCAATGTTATGCTATCAATGTTATCAATTTTCTCTTATCAATGTTACATTATCATTGTTATCAATTTACATTATCATTGTTATCAATGTTAATCCTGCAGTCACATAAAGAAACTTGATTTTAAAAAAATAAAGATAATTTATTTTTAAAAAGGTTTTATTTATAAACTTGCCGATAAAAATGTGAATGGTGAAGTGCACAGCAAGCATTTATCTTAGAGGTACGGTATTCAATAAGTTATTTACAGCTGTACCGGTATATCATTTTACAATAAAATATAATGACAACAAAAAAAATCTGTAAATTGATTCCTTCTGGATTTTGTAATACTTATAATTATACAACACACTGACTTTATGAAGTTCAGAATATTGTGGTGCATCACTAAGTATATTATGATGACACATTAAGCGTATAATGACACACCAAGCCTATATTAGTGACACACAAAGCCTATAGTTAGACACACTAAGCCTGTAATAACGACACACTAAGCCTATAATGACGAAACAATAAGCCTATAATTAGACACACTAAGCCTATAATGATGACACACTAAGGCTATAATTATTAGACACATTAAGCCTATAACAAGACACACTATGCCTATAAAAGTGACGCACTAAGCATATAATAATGACACACCAAGCCTGTAATAAGAGGACACATGCCTATAATAGTGACACTCTAAGCTTATAATAATGGCAAACTAAGCCTATAATGACACACTAAGCCTATCCTATAATGATTAACACTAAGCCTTTAATAATGACACACTAAGGCTATGATGACACACCAATCCTATCAAGGCACACTAAACTTATGAAACATTAAACCTTAAAAAAAGTATTACTCATAAAACCTATGATGGCACAATTTGCCTATAATGTGATTAGTCTATATAATGATCACAATTTGAGGCTATAAACATCATCTGCTAAGTCATTAATCATGAAACTCTAAATTTATTATCATTAAATATCACAAGTTGCAGCACACGAAAAAGCCTTTGTTATTTCTGTACACATTTCCCTAGGTTAGTCATTAAAAAATGATACATCTTATAACTATAAACAATTTAAAAACTCAACAAAATCTCATTTTGTAAATCATATTTTGAAATACTCATTTAAACCTCTTGAGATGGCCAGGCCGATCCATGGGCCAGTAATACAAGCCACAAGATTGGCTGGCAAGTCTTTGTACCAGCTAATCAGATTTCTAGCTCATCTTATTCTAATGGTGGCTTCCATCGATAGTTTGCAGAGTTCTGTCATTTTAGAAAAAAAATTTTTTATAGTCACCCCTAAAAATGCTTAAAAATATGTGACCTTCAAATATCCCAAAAGGCTTAACAGCCAGGGGAAAATTTTATGCAGTTTTTCACATTGAATCTCAGTCAAATGTTTGCTAGGCCTTATTTAGGCTTCAGTAACCAGAAAATATTGAACAAAATTCAGGAAGTAAGACATGTTTATTCCAAGTGTAACTTGCATAAAGACTGTATTAGTTCATTCAATTTCCTACAAGAATATATACTGTTTAATACTTGTAAAGTACTGGTAATTAGTTTATTCTGAATAAATTTTTTTGCAAAGTAAATGCAAGGCTTGTCAAAAGGATTCCGTCATATTGGCACCCAAAGTCCAAAAAGGCTCCGCCTCAATAACTAATTGTTGGTATTTCTAAGTAATTCTTCTATATTTTTGACGTTGCTTTTTTTTTGCCCGGCTAATAAAAGCAAATATTTTATGCATGGTCAATATAAAGATGAAAAGATATGAGCTTGACCTGTATGTATTTTAAAATATGATACACTGTGATGCTTTATAACAATAATTTTATTGATCAGTGTGTAATAGGCCCCAGGCTCCAGGCCCGAGTCGGCAGACTAAACTATGTTGAAATAAATCATGATAATATTTTAAAATGTACACAGATTAATTATGTCATTGCTACAAATGAAAAACTTATAGTAACAAAGTGTGCTCAGGCTGCCAACATAATTAAAGAAAATGATATAAGCAGGCAAAGTAAAAACTTTGATTTACTAGTTTGGTAGTTTCCAAATGTTGAAAACAGTTGGTTTATTCAAATACACCATTGATCTTTGTAGGAGCCCCTCTTTGAAGGGAAAAAATAAAATAGCAATAGCAGTTATTGATTGGGCCTATGCCTATACTAGACTGGTTGAATGAACTGCAGATCCTTTGATCACCCCATTTAGGTTCACAAATGGTTGGGATCATCCTATAGCAATCCAGTTAACTAGGGGAACCCCCTACGACTTAGATTTAAAATAGAGCTGACTCATTATTTGACTCAAACCGTTTGATGTTAAAATCTTGTTAAAGAATAGAGTTTTCATGTCATATTGAAATACACCAGTCTTATGATTGTAAAACAGATAGGAGTGGCTTTACTTATGACAGAAACAAAGTATCCATGAGATAACTATATCATATTTAACTCAATATAATAAATACTTATAATATATATAATATATTATATGTAATATAAATAATCCAGAGAATACAAAACGGTAAAGATTTCATTTATTTTAAATTTTTAAATTTAAACAATTATAATTTTAATAATGGTATTAATAACAATAGGCCTTTGTGTATTACTACTGCTATTATTATTAATAAAAAAACATTTAAAGAGGAGAGAATGTGTAAAAAAAATTCATAACTCGCATATAAAATAATACAAAAATAGATTTTGAATATAATTAGATCATTAAACACTTTAGAAAAAAATTATGCCAACAAATTTGAAAATCAAAATTTTAATTTTCATATGAACTTCTGGAAATGGTTTGAAAGAATTTGATATATTTAGATTACTAGCTGAGTCCAATGACATGAGCGTTTGGTACCCAGTAGGCTGAAAAGTTGATATTTTGTGAACAGGTTTTTTTTTAAATTGGAAAACGTCCATTGATCAAGTTTTGACAAGGATTGATGTAATATTTTTACTTGAAATCAACATTATTAAATATCTATTTGAAGCTAAGAATAAATAGATCCCTCAGTTCCTGGTTGCTAATGTCAACAAGTGTACTTTAAATATATAATTACTAGAAAATGCCCATAAAAAAATGATGAACAAAAAAATTATTTTGAAAGTGTCCGGCAACTTCATTAAAATTATATTCTACAATTATATTTAAGGTGGGTGAGAAATTTTTAAAATTAACTTTTGAAAAACTAACACAAATTAATACACACATACAAGTTAGATGTTTTACTTTTACCAGCACTTTGTACAGATTTTTAAAATGTTTTCAGATTTGTATGGCAGTCCACAGTTTCGGACAGGTTTTTTAACATAATTGAGGTAATAATTTTTTGCAATTGTTAAAATATGGCAGCGATCAGAACATTTGAGAAAATGAAAAACAAAGTCTAGAATTAATGGTGAAAAGAATCATGTCAATTTTCCAGTGAAAAATAAAGACTCACACATGTTATAATTGAATAGTGCAGAGATTGTTAAATTGCAAAGTTGGCATACATTTTAAACAATGAGCAAGTGAGCATTAAATGAATTTAAAGAATGAAAAATATAAATGATAGTTATTTACATTTTATTTTCAATTTTTGTGTACAGGTTTTTGTACAGGTTTTATTTCTACCGTTTGGCATGTATGATTACATCAAAAACTGTCATTTTTAAATCAACTTTATATAGAGCATTTTACAAAACAAATTAACAAAATTTAAGTTCTTGAATTTTCAACATTATTTTTAATCACTTCTAAAATTATATTATCACCTTTGTCTTTAAATATCTTTACCTTTATTCAGTGAAATGGCCCTGCAGCAAAGTGGCGACAGCGAAGCGGCCCATTCCTGAACTAACATATAGGTAAACTAGGTAATTATACGGCTAGACAATGTAAAGAATAGATATAGCCCCTAACTTAGTCAGGTCATGTGTCCGCTAACTACAGCCCTAAAACCAAATCTGGCCCAGTGCTAACTTTTGTACAGCATGGGAGGAAAGCTGCCCGAAGGACCTCTGCTGTTACAGCACTTCAGGTAGCCCCTCAAACTTATAAACCCAAGTTCAAATCCCCCTTAACAAAAATACTGACTGACTCCCCTTTACACCCATCACTTCTTTTAAACCCCAAACAAAACAACAACCCACGTACATGGCAAAATATTATTTTCATGTTTATTTTTACATGATGGTATATGCTTGATGAGCAACTGTACATTACCTGATGGCTTTGCACCATCCCCCACCCACCCACCCCTTTATAATGCTAGCATGTCACCATTACTCTCAAGGCCATAGCGACCACAACTAACAACTGTCTCACTTCTAAAACCTTGTTTCATTTTGTGTGGGGGGGGGGAATTCCTATTATTTAGTCTTTATTCAGTTAAGTCCCTAAACACAAAAAGAAAACTGGGCCATGAATTTTCAGGGCCAAATTCCCCTATAAGACTCTTGATATAAACATGGAGCAAGTTTGCACGTCTGTTCCATTCTTAACAAATCTTGTAGCTCAACCTTTGCCCGCCTGGCAGGTTATCATATACTTCATTACATCACATCCTGTCCTCTCAGGTATTCTCTGCAGGTAATCCTGGGAACAGGTACAACGACTTTGTGAACGTGTCTGTCTTCTCGGCCACCTGTTTATACTTTCCCTTGATGGTCTCTGCTTTACTCACCAAGTTATTCACCTGTTGAGGAGATCAATACATGCTTATCAAAGATTCAATGCTAAGAGTGGCAGTATTTTAAATATCAAGCCTGACATTTTATTTCCTACATATCATTGAAACGATTACGCAAATTGTTTTCCATACAATATTTAAAAATGCCGTCGAGTGCAGGCAGTTTGATTCTGACCCCAAAGAATTGTTACGTTAAGCAGATACCATGACAGGGGTAAATGATTTCATCTAGAGATGAACTTGGGGGTTCCTCAACGCTTGCACTACTGATCTGTGTTTTGGTCCGTATGCCCCAGTATTCTTTCGGACTCTCTGTCCATATGTCTGTGACTCCCTGGGAGATTGCAGGATTTTCTTGTTCATCAGACTCTCTGTCCATATGTCTGTGACTCCCTGGGTGATTGCAGGATTTTCTTGTTCATCAGACTCTCTGTCCATATGTCTGTGACTCCCTGGGAGATTGCAGGATTTTCTTGTTCATCAGACTCTCTGTCCATATGTCTGTGACTCCCTGGGAGATTGCAGGATTTTCTTGTTCATCAGACTCTCTGTCCATATGTCTGTGACTCCCTGGGAGATTGCAGGATTTTCTTGTTCATCAGACTCTCTGTCCATATGTCTGTGACTCCCTGGGAGATTGCAGGATTTTCTGGTTCATCAGACTCTCTGTCCATATGTCTGTGACTCCCTGGGTGATTGCAGGATTTTCTTGTTCATCAGACTCTCTGTCCATATGTCTGTGACTCCCTGGGACTAACGTCCTAAAAGAACAAGTAGTCACTCTCTGTCCATATGTCTGTGACTCCCTGGGAGATTGCAGGATTTTCTTGTTCATCAGACTCTCTGTCCATATGTCTGTGACTCCCTGGGAGATTGCAGGATTTTCTTGTTCATCCCAAACTACTTTGATAATGCGTCTTCATTTCATTTCTCTTTAAGGGACATTACTGAATGGGGTTGGGGTTTAATCACACAGTGACAGGAGACTGCATTCATTATATCATTTTCAATATTTAAATAAATGAAATGGATTTAAGTTAAAACAGAAGTGAAAAAAATACTAGTGGTGATATGGATGAAGGGCGAATATAAGAACATATAAGAGGGATAAGGGCAGTTGGTCATTCAGGATCGTTGGTCACCACAGTCCCATAATGGCACAGTTAAAAATATATAAAGTGAGAATATATATATATATATATATATTACTATAAGTGTTTTATATAGCGTGGGCTCACCACGCTGTACGTAGAATTTAACAAACATAATCAAGAACTTATAAAATTAATTAATTAATCAACATACTGGTACATTAATTAATCAACATACCGGTACATTAATTAATTAATCAACACACCGGTACATTAATTAATTAATCAACATACCAGTACATTTATTAATTAATCAACATACCGGTACATTAATTAATTAATCAACATACGGGTACATTAATTAAATTAAAAACAAAACAAATGTGTATTTAAAACTATTTTAATAAGACACGAACAAATTGTGTCAATAGAACAATATAAGTTCCGCTTTAATAATAATTATACATTATAAAAAATTAAAAGTTTCGGCACATGCCTTCATCAGTACAAACAAACACAACACATTTAAGTAAGTATAAATTAAATTTACATAATATCAATATGCATATCCTACCTAAAACAGAAAAAATATAGGAGAGGGCGCTAAAACCAGACAAAAACAAAGTAAAGAGGAGTAGAGAGGAAGTGATTTTAACATAATTGTAAAAACCAAACAGGAAAAAGACATGGCAGCTAAGTAAAATTGTGGATTTGGTTCATTCCATATGGAGACAACGTACCAAATCTAGTTATTAATTTGTTCTCCATATAGATTCTATTTGTAGTGTTACTACTATAGAGTATACCAGCAACTGCAATGTCTGAGATACCATCATGGTTAGGGCTATTGAAATTTTTGGAGACCGGACAGAGAGCGCGTTTATTTATGTTATAGAGGTGCTCTCTGAAACGGTCCCCAAGGCGACGACCTGTCTCTCCTATGTATAATTTACCGCACTTTTTGCAAATGATGGTGTAAATCACGTTGCGACTTGTGCAGGTAAAGCCATCTTTTATTCAGAATACTTCCAGAGGGAAAGTGATCTTATCAGTTTCGATCACGTAGGGACATCAGTTACAACGGCTACGGTTGCAACTTTTTGTGCCTTTATGTGCTTTAATAGCAGGGAGGTGGCTTCTAACTAGCATGTCCTTAAGGCTCTTGTCTCGCCGGAAAGCCAAAAGAGGAGGTTTTCTAAAAATCTCATTTGTGACAGGGTCCGCCATCAGAATTGAGCGGTTTTTCAAAACTAGAGAGCGAGCTTTTAGGTTGTGGGGATGAAAAGTTAAAATAAATTTAGACCTATCACTAGTGTCAGAATGAGTAGCTTTAAAAGAATCCTGTCTAGTCATACCTTTAACTCGAGTGACAGCTGCTTTTAAAATATCTTCGGGGTATAACCTGCGTCGAAAAAAATCCAACATTTCAGACATTCTTTCTCCAAAAACCTCATCATTACTACATAGTCTTCTGACTCTCAGCAACTGAGAAAATGGGATGGAGTTTTTACACCATTGAGGATGGGATGATGAATATAGCAAGAAGCTATGACTATCTGTTTGTTTATAAAAAATGGACGTAGATATTTTGTTCTCATGAAGTTTAATTTGTAAGTCCAAAAAATTGATGGTGCTTTTATGGATCATTGAAGTGAATTTAATTGTTGGATGAAAATCTCCAATGAAGTAAATAAAACCTTCTAGTTGTGTCATGTCCATATTAGTAATCCCTATACAGTCATCAATGTATCATTCTGGGAAAGGACCTTGGTAGTGTTCTCTCCAAAGATGTTCCAAATGGCCCATAAATAAGCATGCATAACTTGGTCCCATTTTCATTCCCATAGCAACACAACTGATCAGATCGAAAAATTTGCCATTGAATTCAAACGAATTAAGCTGTAGAACCAATTCAGTCAAACGTACAATGGCACTTGTTGGAAATTTGGGATTAGGATTCATATTCAGAAAAAATGAAATAGCGGTGAGTCCATCTGTGTGGGGAATTGAGGTGTACAGTAGGACAAGAACAAGCTGAGACAATAGGTCTTCCTGGACTTCCCTCCTTGTGAATCTTTGGTAGCAAATACAAGCATGGTTTACCAAGATCACTGTCATAAATACGTAAGTTTGAAGCAGACGCGGGTAATTTGCCAACTTGAATAAGTTCCTCGATAATTTCCTTGACAATTTCATTATTCTGTACAATGGGGTCGTTGGACCTCGGCGTGTAAAATGTTTTATCTTGTAATTGTTTGGAGGCCTCTTCAATGTAGAGCTTCTTATCCCAAACAACAACAGCCCCGCCCTTGTCTGCCGGTTTAATAATGATAACCTGACGTGTTTTGATATGGGAGAGTGCTCGCCATTCTTGTTTAGATAAATTTGATTTATGGAGTGGAGTTTGTCGTAGATTTTTTATTTGATTCTCTGTACATTTAATGTAAAGGTCAAGTGCTTTAGATTGATCAGGTGGAGGTGTCCGTGTAGATTTGCGTTGTCGTACAGGAAATGAATCCTCATCCTGGTTAGTGGGAGTCTCGAGAAAGTAAAGTTGCAGTCTCAATGAATGAAAAAAATTAAAACTATTTACATGACAAGCCATGGACGACAACCAGCAGAATCATATATATATATTTATATATAAGCACTTACCTGAGTCATGAGTTTCTGGAGGTCATTCTTGTAGGCGTACTTGGCAAATACAAAAGTTATTGCTTGTATAAACCAAGTACCATATTTGGTGTTGCGCCAGGACAGGTTTCCTGAATGGCAGACCGATAATAAAAGTTATGGTTAGTTGCCAGTTTGGAAAGATTTTAAACAAATTAGCACATCATTGCCTTTGTTTTTTGTGTGTCTTCTTTAGCACTTTGCATCCCCAGGATTCTGACTGGCTACCTTAAAACATAGCCACTATAATTATGGCATTACTGTGGTTGATATATAATTTCAGATTAATATTCAAATTGTTCGAACCACACACTTAGCAATACACAAGTCCAAACAGTAAATAGAGTATCTCCGCCATTTATCCACAATAAAAACAGCAATGTCATTTTCCCTTACCCAAATACATCACAACACTCTCACACAATAGAGACAGCTACACATGAAATCTCTAAACTAAACATCTTTTCCCTACCATCATAACAACAGTGATCTACAAATAACAACAGTGATTCTCATACCCTTGACAAATAAATGCATCTGTACATGATAAATAGATGCAACTTACATCATGAATAAATGCAATTGTCTGCCACAAATAATGGAACTGAACATCACGAATAAATTGAAAAAATAAGGATTTAAGATGTCTGAATATGCTGTTAATTTTTAATGCCCTTATACTTCAATGTATGACCACACAAGCACCCGGTCTCCCATGATACAAGCACCCGGTCTCCCATGATACAAGCACCCGGTCTCCCATGATACAAGCACCCGGTCTCCCATGATACAAGCACCCGGTCTCCCATGATGTAGCCTATTATCATAAAGTTAAAATTTTGCTGGATTCATTCATTTGCTTCTCCTGGAAATATTGAGTTAATTACTAAAATTCTAAATTTTGTTAGCTATTATTATTGTGCCCTGTGCTAGGCTTAAGTTGCATTGTTGATATTAAGGTCATTGACTAGACGGTTGTAGACTAGAAGTGCTATGTGGTTAAAACAGTTTCAAAAAAATATTTCGTAGAGTTTTTATATTAACGAAGAAATGCGAAAAGGAAACAAAGTTACTAATCCCACCTGGTGTTGTTGCCATGGCGATGAATGTGTCTGCCAGGCTGGGAGTCTTTTCTCCTACAGCATCACTCTGCTCCAACTCGGCCTCCCAAGCAAGGCGCAATGCCCGTTTCACATGTCTGATATTAACTTCCTCATTTGAGTCTAATGAAGATGGTTTAGTTGCAGCAACATGACTTAGAGACCTGTCAGAGGCCTCTTGGTGAACTAAAATTTAGGTAAAAGAAGAAAAATCTCAATGCAAAGCAACAAATAAAATTTAGTACTCAGTTAGGAATAACGTGGGGCACCTGGTGTCATCATTTATTTAACTGTCAGTTTCATCCCAGGGCCCAAAGGGACACAACATGTACATAAAACACAAGATATAGTTTTCTTAGCAAATTCAGATACATTTATGCATTATACTCAGTGTTGAGGAGGAAGGGTAGAACTTTTTCCTTGTATTATGGGGCACCATTTGACTTTTGGCAGACTGCAGAGTTTTTTTATTGGTTGGGGGCGTGAAAAAAGCTTAGCCCGCCCAGGCAATACTAACTCTAGCTGAGCCACCCATTGAGCCAAGTTTAAACAATAAAAATTAGTCTACAGAAAGCTCGGTTTGGTTCTTAAGTTAGTCCGAAGTAATTCTGTTTAACAATAATGGTTAGGAACTTTGGTGGTGCTAAAATTTGAACCCTAGGATGTCAGCCTTTCGGACTATCAATCAACTGCCCTTAATTTTATTTTTTATCAAGTATTAGTTTTAAGAACAAATCATCAAGTGTTAAGCCAGTAACTTACCTGGCACTACCTCTGTTACCTCAGCTAAAACTATTTGTTTCAACTGTACCGGAGGAGAATCTGCTCGCTTGTTATCTATTACATCCATTGTTACAGCCTTTGTACTGGAGCCCATATTTAATGCAGGACCAGGACTCAGGGTTTCATCCATTGGTTCAGCATTTATGCTGGTGCCTGTATTCAATGCAGGACTCACGATTACATCCATTGGTTCAGGCTTTGCACTGGAGCCTGTATTTAATGTAGGACCAGGACTCAAGGTTACGTCACCGACAGGTCTGTCAGCTGGGTTGGTAAACATTCCTGTATCCTTTGCATCTGTATAAAGTGAGGGCATTAGGACATCAAATCAGTTTTAATTTTATGAAAATATTCTCTTTTGTACCAAAACGTTTTTTTTAAATGTCAGATGAGGGCAAACACAATTATTTGCTGAAACTCATCAACTTTCATAACTACAGCAGTAGAATAATGAGTCTAAGCTGCAGACATTGAGACATCTTCTGCAACACAGCAGTAGAATGAGTTTAAGATGCAGACATCTTCTGCAACAACATTTAAAAAAACAAACAAATGACAAGTCAACAGTTAAAGCTCAGACACTCACAGACACACGGCGGGATATCACAACTAAACATCTACAACAAGATTGTTGATTGTATGCAATGACAGGTCGATTGTGATTGTTAGGGTCATATTTACAGAGCATCCCTATGAAATTTTGTTTCAAAGATAACCCAGTGAGAGGGTCTCTGATAATTCTGAACCCTAAGTAACGTTAGAGATAGGTCAAGGTCGTAGGTCCAGTATAAATACAATGAATTAAAATGCTGATCAAAAGATTTCAATAATTTATTTTTGAATAATGACCAATCAATTTTGCTACAGTGTTCCACACTGTATAGTTTTAACTAAACTTAAGATTAGTTATCTTCTTCTTCTTGTTCTTTATTTTAAGGGCCCACGATCAATGAATTGATCATTCTGACTCCTATGTTTCAGAGAGGTTCGTGATGTTACTGTGCATGGGTTTCAAAGGGATACTTCACTGGTGGCAAGGGCTACTCAGTAGTGGTGTTACGAACTGGGGATTGGAATACAGGAGGCAATAGACACAAATGTGTCGAGTGTAGCCGCCTCAACTGTTGCTTTTGGAAGCTTGTTCCAATCCCCTATTGTTTTCGGCAGGAATGAGGAGCTCCTGTACTTTGTTCTTGTTTTTACCAGCCGGAACTGTCTGTCATGACCTCGTCGCTGACTAGGGGGAAGATGAACGAGTTTCTGTTTAATGCCGGAGCAGTGGACCAGCCCATTTTTTATCTTGTACAACATTGTGAGCCTGGATAGTCGTCGTCGTTCTTCCAATGTTGACCAGTGTTTCTAGCATGCTGCCAACACTTGAGGTGTTTCTGTATGTTTCTCAACATAAAGACATTGATTTTACCAACTTGCCTGTATACCAGTGCACCAACATTGCATAGATCTTTTCATAATTTAATTAAAGGTCTTAATTTTCTGATACATTGGTCTTAATGGAGTTAATGATACACTGGTCTTAACTCTTAAAGAAGTTTACTATGAAGTGGTTAAAGGAGTTTACTACAAATTGATAAATTGGTTAAAGGATGTAACAATACATTGGAAAATAATTTTGACTTACTTCCCTGGCAAGCCTGGATAAAGAATATCTTTGGTTTGCCAATCAACGTTGTAACACTGCTAAACATCTTTCTTATCTCTGTGATGGTCACATAGTTGTAATGTTTATTATTCTCTGTGCGTCCGTCTATACCAAATACAACCCCTTCATGGCCATGGCTTAAGATGAACAGCATAAAACAATCAAATCTGCTGTGATCAAGGGCCGCTTCATCTTTCAGAATTTTTAACATTTCCTGTTGATTTTTTGAAAAAAATAAAGAAGAAAAAAACCTGAATATTTTTAATCACAAAATGACATCAACAGCTTGATTCCAACCTTTTTCTACAATGTTTGTATGTAAGTTTAAACAAATACCTCTATTATCTTTTTTTGTTAACTAACAGTAACATTAAACAAAGGCTCATAACTATTTGTGTGAGATAATGATAAAATCCACAACATTATTTCTAAGAACAATTACTATGTAAATAAAAAAAATCAAGGGGCATTAATTAATTTGTTGGTTTAATTGATCACCTCTCCTGTTTTATTGGGATGTACAGTAACTTCAAAACCAAGACACTCTTCCTTAAAAACAGATTCAATACTTTTGCGATCTCTGAGTGTTCCTTCTCTGTTCTGCAAATATGTGAACTTTTCATTGTTGATCACGAGCGCATGTCCCTTGATTTTGTTTTTCATCGAGTAGTATTTCTTCTGAAATTGTTGTTAGGCCCATATTAAGTAAAGTAAGAAAATTAAACAAAATTATTCAAATACTGTAATCTTCGTCCCTTGATGCACAGCTGAAGCTATTACACCTCATTAGTTTATCAGCCAAAGTTTTCAGTAACAGTTTGTTTCACAATTTTGTCCTCCGGAGGTTAATTAAAAACAACAACAGCATTAGATCAATAATGGAAACAAGCATGACATAGAATTTCTGACTAGAAGTCACAAGGAAAGTGGGCGGACTGAAAAACTTCAATAGAACAGCAGACATCAGCATCACCCTTGGTCTCGAAGACATAACAGGTTTAATTAAAAATAGCACGGGGCCGCCGATAAACTTCAACATAACAGCAGACTTCATGATGGTCAATGGTCTCAATGACATAACAAGTTAAAGTAAAAATTTCATGGTTTGTGGCAGTACCCACTTGTCAGATGAAGATTTCAAGAGATTTCTTTACTGCGATTAGACTTTATTATCCGGGAGCTCTAGTAATCTCTCTTCATTTCGTGCAATGTAGCTCCTTTGCACATATTTTTCTATGTGAGTTTCAGTGCATCCAATTTTAATGCCTACTTTATTCCATATTTTATGTAGCAAGACATTTAGTGAAAGGAAAACAATATCCAGTGGCCAACAAACAATGCAGTTCTTGATGGTGTGGCCAACTAGCAGAAATAACTTTCCATGATATGTTGACTTCAGTGAGCAAAGATATTTATGAATAGTTCTTTCAGTGAGCAAAGATATTTATGAATAGTTCTATCTGACAACAATTATTTTTTAAAAACTGCTTATGTGACATACATATGCATATAAATAAAAGTCAACATAAATGTTATATGTTGGTTTTCACTTACTTGGCCTTCAGGTGACAAGGAATACCTATAGAACTCAATGATTTGCACATCATCTGTGTTGACTTTGCGCACTTGAATACCACTACTGATAATCTCTTCTGATGGCCAAGCTAGAAATTAAATGAAATTCATTGCACTAATACAAATTTTTTTTCAAAATCTTCAAAACTGAAAAAGGAACGGGGTGGGTGGGGGGATATTTATACAAGTTATTGAAACCATTTTTTCTTAATTTATTCTATACATACTTTGATAATAAAATTAAAACAATTAGTTTTAAAACTACTTATTCTTTTATGTTGGCACTGGAATTTAAGTAGGTTTAAACAGAGACAACAACTATTTTTGCAAATAATTTTAAATACAGTAAAACGGGGTGACTTCGCCTATGTTTAGACTTAAAGAATAATTTTCAACATGTTAACTAATCTAAAAACTAACACAAAGGTGCTAATGTACAGAGCGGGTACCTGCACTTTGTTGTTATAGATAACCTAGCCAATATACCCGGCATTGCACGGGATTGCATTAGGACCCCGATCCTGGTAAGATCCCAAACCCATTCTGACCATGTTCCGGGGGCAACCTCTTGTCTCGGTGTGATCCCATTCCCGGTGGAATCCCGTTTTCTTGTGGCTCCGGATCCAGGGGAAATCCAGATCCCGGTGGGATCCTGATCTTGTTGGATCCCGATGGGCTTTCGATCCTGTTAGGATACCGTTCTCTATGGGATCTCGTTATACCTAAGGACTCTTTTTTCCAATGTTATCTCTTTTCCCGATAAGATCCCGATTTGATCGTGTTACCCGATGGGATCGCATAACAGATGGGTTCCAGTTTGCTGTTGGATCTCGTTCCCCATTAGGGTCCTGTTCCTCTATGTGATCATGTTCAGTACGATTTTGTTCAAATAAGCTTTTAGATCCCATTCTATATCCCCGTAGAACAATAAAGAACCTTCTGGAACATTCTAGATTAAATTCAATATCCTCCATGAAACGTGTAAAAAATTACTTTTCTACGTAATTTTTTCTCGAATGCGAAAGATTTTCAACTTAATTAAACTACTATAACTATAGTAGATTTAAAATGAAATTTGGGCCCCGTTAGTACCGTTTAAGTTATGTCTGAGATGGGGTTGGGGCCCTATAAAAATCATTCAGATAAATTATAGAGTTACAATTTAAAATTTGTCCCATGAAAATCGAATTAAAAATACCATAGTTATAGCTTTTCAAAATTATGGAACTTTCTAGAAAATTCTAGATCGGCCCTGCTTGGATTGGATATTATTAGTTTTATTAGCCACCGATATTTTAATACGGACTAAGAAGGGTATTGCTACAAAGCTAGGCCTAGATCCACCAATTCACATAGAACCTAAGGAGTTGTCTAAGCCTATTGATATTTATATGGCTTATACAAGGAAAAATGAAATCGGCCCCAGAGGGATGGATATTATGAGTTCAGAACCTTTCGGTATTTGAATATTGATAATCCAGTATATTTGTACTAAGTTTGGTCAAGATTGGTCTATTTATGTAGGAGTATTTGTTGATCATTTTATTTATAAAGCTCATATAAGAAAAAATCAAATTTTGGGCCCCCGGCCCCAAACGAAATGTTATAAAAAGTTCATAACCCCTTAAGAGTTCCTTCTGGATAATAAGTGGATAATTAAGGTTTTTTAAGATTACTTCCATGGCCCTTTAAAACACAAATTTTTTTTTATTTCTTAAAGATTATATTATATTAATTTTCTTTCATTGGTTCCACACGCACAGACTTCAACTCACCATCTGGCAGATCGTCATCCCCATTGTGGTTGCCTGTTGGCTCATCCGCTCTGGCTGACTTAAAATGGGTGGTAAGGTCGGGCCTCAAAATATCTGCTGCTCCATTTAGTTCCTTAGCAACACATGACTTATACAGTTGCTCAAAGGCATAAGGCCCTCTTGTTGGTAGTATATCTAAAAGTGCCATCGCTCTGTCAGCATTATTGTTGTTACTCTTTAAGTATAGAGAATGTAGACAAAATTATTTGCATTTATTATTATTTAAATATTTGCTTGTAACTCTGAAAACTTTCACACACACACACTTATATATTTAAAGTCTTAGGGAAACTCTATTCTGAATTTTAAAAAAAGTTTTCTAAAATCTTTGATAGAACTGCCAAGTCAAAAGATATGAACACCAGCAAGGAACCATTAATCGAGACATTTTTTTAATGAAGCTCTACTTTACTGTCTGACAAGGTTAGTTGCCTTTTTTTTTTCAAGCCCTTTTGTCTCCAAATGATGTTAACCAAGGACTCCTTGGGTTAGGGTTTGTTTTAATGGAAAACTATACTTTCTTAAAATTCTCTCCCCATTTGTATAATTACTACATGTTTTACAATTAATTCTTACATTTTAATTTTTCATAAATATCTTCTTAAACATGCACGTACAAGTGGTGCTGGGTGGCCGAGCTGGTGGTCTTGAGTTCAATCCCCAAACCAAAGCCAACATCCCAAGCACCCCAAGCAGCTCATATAAGAGAAGGCAAACTCTGAATTCAAACCAGAGCCAGAATGATCAACATATTGATTGTGGGCCCTCAAATAGAAGAAGAAGAATAGTGTGGTTCCCTCATAAATTTGATCACAAGAATTACCTCCAATATTCTGTCCATCATATCTTTGGATATAACTTTAGCAGAATATAAATCTTTGCATACAGGTTTAATGTCCTCTTTGATTGCTTGCCGCAGCTTGTTATAATTAGTCCTTATGATGTCTTTATGTGCTGGTAGCATTTTACTGAAAAATAAAAAGAGGCAACAGATGTAAATAACAGTTAATATAAACATTTAAAGTTTTTTCAATATGTACATCAAATCACATGAAGATGTATATCTATAATATAATTAATAATCACTTCGGAGTCTTTCTTCCTGTACCTGTTTTTCCACACTGCAAGCTCTATGTCACCATCCCCAGTGGAACAAATTAAGAAACCCAATCAGCTGTTGGTAGAAACACTTTTTAATTGGGAGCATTCATTGAAAATCAGCATAATGTCATCTCATATAAAGTCATCAGGGAACTTTTAACCTAAAACAAAATATTTTTAAAAAATAATAATGGTTTTGTTTACTTTCTATTTATTTAACAAGGTCACCCAAAGAGAGACTGATCAACTGATATTAATGAAAATGTCTTTTCTCCACATAATTATAGGACTTGTTACATACAAGGGGGCCAGAGATGCCCACCAAGGCTATACAGTATATTAGGTCATTAAAAGTAAGTCCAAGATCGAATCAAGTGGTTTCACTCACACAAAAATTAAAAAATTGGATCCCTTGTAGAAGGGCCCCTAAACGGCAAAGAGTCCACATGCCTCAATTGACTTTAGATTCAAATTTGCAGTTATTTTTTAAAATGTTTTTGATACCTACTAAACATTTTTTCTTTTCATTCATACCAAATAAGATTCTTTTTTTTAAAATTCTGTCACTTCCTTAGCCTTGTAAATTAAAATGTGTTCATATAAATTAATATTAAATGATATCTGAATTAAATAAGACTTTATTAAACTCTTTCAAGTCTTTGAGTCTTAAGGTATGTTGACACTGTGGGTTTGTCACTTGGATTCTCAACTTCATTTTTTCCCCTTCAGTCAGCATGGTTGTGAATTGACAAAAATAAATCGTATTTAAAAGAAAAAAAAATGACGATTTTATTCTATATAAATTTAATGAGCCTTATGTTGCTGATCATTGCAACTAGCACATAATCATAAATTTAAAATTAATAAATAAAAACAAATACAAATATAAACAAAGACAAAGGTTCTGAGTCTCTAGTAAAACTAATACAAAGACCTCTTTTATTTTAGCTATTCCTTTAAAGAAATAAGGGGGTGGGGGTGTTGACAAAGAAAATTTTAAGATGATCATCTCAGGCCATCTGGGTCATGGGGGGGGGGGGCCAAAAAAAAAAAGGATTAAAAAAAACTGCAAAAAATCAGCTTTTAATATTATAATTTATCAAGTAACAAATAAATTTTCTAATAATTCATTTACAGAGAGAGGATTGATATCCAGGATAAATAACAACTTATACTTAAAATATAATTTTACCCTGATTTTTCCTAGAATCTAGGCTAGATTTTTCTATTTTCTCTTTATGGTTTACAATTACAAATAGAGAGCTAGTTGAAATTGAAATTTGTTTCAATTTGATATTGAATTGAAAATATTGTCAATATTCTGTCAATAGCATGACATAATGACAATGAGGTATACCGCATCATGATGTTAGGGCCTAAGTATAATTAATTAAGTCTTACTTAATCTATCATTAATCATTATATTTATTATCATTGGACAGTCTGTGGACAAAAAACTTGACTTCATTCAAGATTCATTGTTACAAATTTTTCACATCACCTGCGAGTCCTGATCCAAGTTATAAGATGTTATTTATTTTTTATTAGGCCTACCTAATTAAAATAATTTTACTCACACTTCGGACTTCGATCATGAAGAGTAGATAAGTAATGACAGAACAGTTGAGAACATTACAGTAAAATTAAAATAACGAAGTCGCCATCTTAAAAATTGCCCATGCTAAAACAAGATTTTACTAAACTAAAGCAGAAAATGAAAACCCCAATGACAATTTAGTCTACTTTTAGAATCGGAAATTCGCAAAGCATCCTTTTCTTATTTTTTAAAAAGTGAAATTTGATTTGACTTTCGTTTTCTCTACATCGATAGCGTCATATTGTTTGTAGTAAAACAGTTTTTGTATTTCCCCTGGAAAACTTCCCCTATTTCATTTTTCCATTGGATGTAGGGCTTAGCCTTTGGGGTGGCAAAACCGGTCCCTTCTACTCTTACCAAAACCGGTATTTTCCATATTGAAGTCAACGAATACCGGAATCCCGATATTTTCGCTATTGTCAATTTTTTAGATAATCTTTGTGTCGAGATTAGAGGCAATGATTAATCAATGAATAAAAACAATTTTTAAAAATTGCCATTTGATTTTTTATAACCTTTAAACAATATCACACATGTCGTGACATGTCTAGCTTCAGACATTAGCTATGACCGAGCACTGTGAGGTCGACGCTCAGCACCACTGGCTCGGTGGTGTTACAAGGGATTTTGCCTCTTCGTGGCGTGACGGACTAGTAAGGGGGGGGGGGGGGTTCCCTTCTGAAGCTAAAAAACCCTGGATATGAGGCTTGGGTTTCTTAAAAAACCCTTGCCAAGGATTAAAAACATGCGGCCCTGAGAAAGCTGCTCCTAAGCGACCGTTTCGTCCCGACACAGTCCAGACCGAACTACTCCCCTAACGATGGGGTGAGGTAACGCAACGTCTCCCCCTGAGAGGAAGCAAAGCCGTTCTGACCCACGTCCACACAACTCCCAGGAACGGTGGGAGAAGTTAAGCTTGTGGCTACTCCCGGAGTGGAGGTAAAGCCGTGCCACACCAAGGAACGTACGGCTCCCTGGGCGGTGGGGGAGGCAACGCAACACCATCCCCGGAGAGGAAACAAAGCCGTTCCCACCCAACGTCCAGACTGCAAGACTCATTGGGCAAGGGGGGTTGTGACGCAAAACTGTCCCCTCATGAGTGGAAGCAAACTGCCCAACACTCCTATTACTCGAGACCGTGTTGCATGGCCGAGGTCCTAAGAGATAGAATCTCGACCTCCTAGAGTATTGAACTTTATTAGTCTCACTATGCTGGGAGGACGGGCGTCCTGACACTGCCGAGGAAACTCGGCGGTGTCGCAAGGGTTTAGCCTCTTCGTGGTGCGCCAGACTAGTAAGGTGAACTGATCACCCTAAGCCAAAAAACCCGACCGCACACGGTCAACGTCCCGACTGAAAGACTCACTGAGCAAGGAGGGAGGTGACGCAAAACCTCCTCCTCAATGAGTGGAAGCTTTCTGCCCAAACCCCAAACTCGTATTAAAGAAATGACCGTAGACTGAAAATATCTGTGGGTGCTGGCCTGGATATAACTGCATCTACTTTGGCTCGTTTTGATATTCCATGGCTTGATAATTTATGCCCTAAAAACTCAATTGATTGCTGGGCAAAAATGCATTTTTCCTTCCTGCACTTTAATCCATTTTCATTCAGTCTGTGTAATAACCTGCGTAGGTTGATTACATGATCTTCCTCATTCTTTCCACTCACTAAAATATCGTCCATGTACACTGCTACTCCGGGCAAATCTTGCGTAAGTTTGTCCATGATTTCCTGGAAATATGCAGGTGCTGAGGTAATACCAAATGGTAGCCGTGTTTGCAGCAATACACCTCTGTGTGTGCTTAGTGCCAGTTTCTCTTGGGGTTCTTTAGCCAGCTTGATCTGACCTCTGTGTGTGCTTAGTGCCAGTTTCTCTTGGGGTTCTTTAGCCAGCTTGATCTGTCCTCTGTGTGTGCTTAGTGCCAGTTTCTCTTGGGGTTCTTTAGCCAGCTTGATCTGACCTCTGTGTGTGCTTAGTGCCAGTTTCTCTTGGGGTTCTTTAGCCAGCTTGATCTGACCTCTGTGTGTGCTTAGTGTCAGTTTCTCTTGGGATTCTTTAGCCAGCTTGATCTGACCTCTGTGTGTGCTTAGTGTCAGTTTCTCTTGGGGTTCTTTAGCCAGCTTGATCTGACCTCTGTGTGTGCCTAGTGCCAGTTTCTCTTGGGGTTCTTTAGCCAGCTTGATCTGACCTCTGTGTGTGCTTAGTGTTAGTTTCTCTTGGGGTTCTTTAGCCAGCTTGATCTGACCTCTGTGTGTGCCTAGTGTCAGTTTCTCTTGGGATTCTTTAGCCAGCTTGATCTGACCTCTGTGTGTGCCTAGTGCCAGTTTCTCTTGGGGTTCTTTAGCCAGCTTGATCTGACCTCTGTGTGTGCTTAGTGCCAGTTTCTCTTGGGGTTCTTTAGCCGGCTTGATCTGACCTCTGTGTGTGCCTAGTGCCACTTTCTCTTGGGGTTCTTTAGCCAGCTTGATCTGACCTCTGTGTGTGCTTAGTGCCAGTTTCTCTTGGGATTCTTTAGCCAGCTTGATCTGACCTCTGTGTGTGCTTAGTGTCAGTTTCTCTTGGGATTCTTTAGCCAGCTTGATCTGACCTCTGTGTGGGCTTAGTGTCAGTTTCTCTTGGGATTCTTTAGCCAGCTTGATCTGACCTCTGTGTGTGCTTAGTGTCAGTTTCTCTTGGGATTCTTTAGCCAGCTTGATCTGACCTCTGTGTGTGCTTAGTGTCAGTTTGATCTGACCTCTGTGTGTGCTTAGTGCCAGTTTCTCTTGGGGTTCTTTAGCCAGCTTGATCTGACCTCTGTGTGTGCTTAGTGCCAGTTTCTCTTGGGGTTGTTTAGCCAGCTTGATCTGACCTCTGTGTGTGCTTAGTGCCAGTTTCTCTTGGGGTTCTTTAGCCAGCTTGATCTGATTATAAGCATCAGCCGGATCTATTTTTGAGAAATAATGTCCGCCGCCTGCTAACTTCCTCATGAGATCTTCTGGTAATGGCATTTGGTACCTGGATGTTTCTAACTGTTGATTTACAGTTTTCGCATAGTCCCCACAGACCCTAATTTGAGACTTTTTTCCTGAGATAGACTTCTTTCTTACTGTAACTACGGGAGTGCCCCATTGATTGTACTGTTCTGGTAGCCAGACTCCTGAGGATATTCCAGCTTCATAAGCCTCTGCTAGCTCTGCCTTTACTGCAAATGGAACATTTCTAGGTTTCACATAAATTGGTTATGCACTTGGCTTGAACTTAATTTCTAGCTCAACATCCTTCAATAGCCCAAGACCTGGTTCAAACAGCTTCGGGAATTCCTTACAGCTTTGTTCACAAGCCTTACTCAATGAGTTTTGATTAGCAATGTGATTTATATTTGTTTGAAACAGTGCGTCTATTGAAATCCCGAGGTTCTTTATTGCCGTTCTTCCCAACAAATTTAAGCTGTGGTTTTTCACCACTGCAAATGACAGGTTTGTAGTTATTTCCCTTGCCTCAGCCTTTATCTGCACTTTCCAAAACAACAAATGGGTCACCAGACGCTGACTCGTACTATAGGGCTTGTCATTTAAAGGCGGAAATCTATTAATAGAACTGATGTCATTATTACTCATCATCCGGGTACTCAACGCGGACAAAATGCTAACACTGTTCAGTATTACTATGTTAGCGAAGTGTCCCTGAAACTTGTTTATAACTCTATTTTACGAAATATTTTTCACATTTTTTTTTGGTACTTCTATTTTCTGAAATGGGACTTCATTGCGCGAACGGCATATGTAACAGTGACTCTAGATACAAGGATCGTCCGAACGATATGCTGAAACACACTATAAGCTGCCATGTTTTAAGCAATATTTGTCCGCCGGACTTCTAAAGATAGTACGCTATGACGTTTTCCGGTCTGAGAAATGACAAAGCCTATATAACAGATACTGGGCTCAAGGTGGGTTGTCCCACCATTCGCCAAACAGGTTCAGACATAAACTTTTCTCCGGCCCCGGTGTCTATTTCGAATGCAAACCTCTTTCTTATAAAATGAGTTCTTGAATAATGGGTGGGATAGTTTTTATTTGGTTTTGCCTTCTTATTCTTTTGAGATGAATTCGTTTCTGTTTTGGAGCATTCTCTTTCTTATGAAGATAAACTCTTTCTAGATGTCCTCTCTTGTGGCAAAAGCGGCAGATCGTGTCTTTATACTTGCAGACATTTCCTTTATGGCCTCTTACTCCACACCTGCCACAAGTTCATCGCGGAAAATCCTGTCTTTGAGATAAAGAAAATTTCTCTGCTGTCTGATGTTGCTTCTTTCTTTGTGTCTGAATTTTATTGATAAGAGTTTCATCATGGACTGTTTCTTTGGCACATTTCGCTGCCTCCTCTGTTTCAACAGCTATTTCAACTGCCTTGTTGAATGACAATTCAGTGTCCTTCATCCGAAACAAAATTTCCAATACAGCCTCGTTCTTTACAGAGCACATGAATCTTGTTCATAAAGCTTCATCTAGAGGATTTTTGATATTACTAAACTCACTAGTCGCTGCATCCTGTCTGATCCTAGCTGCCAATGTTTTTTTTTATTGTCTCCCCAGGTTTCCTACTTGAATCAGACCAAAATTTGACTCTTTCCCTGATCACAAAATTGGTCGGATCAAACTGATCTATCATTACCACATATATTTCTTCCATGGTTAAATCATTTAAGTTTTGTCAAAGGAGCCAAAGTAGATGCAGTTATATCCATGCCAGCACCCACAATATATTTCCAGTCTACAGTCATTTCTTGGTCAAGTGCAGTTTTACAAGTTCTTACCAGACCTATCAACTGTACTTGAGCCACAGTATTAAAAAGAACGAATCATGGCACTAGAAAACAGAACAAGAAGAAGCTTTTAGGAAAGTCAAGCAATTGCTTTCTTATGATAAAGTTCTAGATCACTATGATCCAACTCTAGACTTAGGCACAGCCTTTGACGCCTCTAATGTTGGCATAGGAAGTGTTCTGTTCCACAGATATCCTGATGGCAGTAAACGCCCCATTGCTAACATTTCAAAAACTCTCACTGCAACACAACGCAAATTCAGAAGGAATC